TAGGACAAGAAGTAATGGGCTGAATAAAGGGAGATTTAGGTTAGACATTAGGGGAAAACTTCCTTACAGTAGGGGTAGTTAAGCATTGGAACAAATCACCTAGGGAGGTTGTGGAATCTCCATTGTTGGAGGTTTTTAAGAACAAATTAGACAAATGCCTGTCAGGGATGTTCTAGAAGATTATTCTTAATCCTGCCTCAGTGCAGGAGACTGGACTAGATGACTTATGAAAGTCCCTTCCAGTCATATGGCGCCTCCTCCATATTGTTGTCTCTGGCTGCTGGCAGCATGGAGACCAAAATGACCTCATGGCAGGATGTGTTGGCAGGTTGTTCAAACTTCCTGTAATGTGCAGGGTGGACAGTTGAGTTTTTCCACATTGCATCATGATCAAAGGGCTAGAGCGGCCATGTTTCAGGAGGGCATTAGGGAATCTGGGATATAGCTAGTTTGACTTGTGGCTGCTTACTGCAGTGTGAACGCCAGAGCCCCGTGTTCTGAGCTCAGGCTAGAAAATTCTTAACCTGGGGTTGCCCAGCCATGTAGGTGCTCAAGCATTTGGTTCTCTAACATAGGGTCCACTGATCGAGTCCCACTGACCCCGGCTTACATTGCAGGGTAGACATACCCACAGGCCATTCTGCCTTGCTGTTCAGGACAAGTTATCTGTGGCGGTGGATGTTATGACACTTGGAAGCCCCATAGCTGCAGAAGCTCACTGATGATATCAGTGAATCTCCTTGTATATCTGGTAATTGTCATTCTTTGCCGCATCCTGTTAACTGGTAGATAATAATATAAGAATAAGGAGGTATTTGAGAGTGTTTGCAGGCTGGATCTGGCAGCCATTTAAACAATTTTGCCTTCAGCTGCACATTCGTAAACATACCATAAATTCCCATGAATAGCTAAGCTGCGTTCTGGAGTTACCGGAATCTGCAGAGCACTGCAAACTCTACTGAGATGTATGACAATGAAGGGTTTAAACTAGTGTTCTTCATTGCAAGGCCCACTAGCCAGTGGCAGCTCCCATCAACCCTAAGTGTGGTTCCTGAAGTTCCTTCTAAGCTGCGTGGCCGTTTATAGCCTGCTGTGCGGCCACGCAGCAGGAACCTGGAGAGGAGAGAGGTAGGGGGTGGGCGGGAACTGGGGAGGGGAGCAAGTTGGGGCTTGCAGGGCTGCTGTGGGCCTCCGGCAGGGAGAGGGCTGGGGGGAGTCCTCTGGCCCCAGCCCCAGGGCAGCCTGCCTGCACCCCAAACTCCTCATCCCTGGCCCCCCGCAGAGCCTTGCCCCCCACATTCCAACCCTCTGCCCCAGCCCTGAGCCCCATCCTGCACCCTAAACCCCTTATCCCCAGCTCTACCCTAGAATCCTCACCCCAGCACCCCACCCTCTTCCCTACCCTGAGCCACCTTCCACACTCCGAACCCCTTGACCCCCCCTCATGTGGCTCTCACATTGAAGGTTTTTTGCCAAAGTGGCTCCCACTTCAAAAATAGTGAAGAGCACTAGTTTAAACCAATTTTAAAGTCATTGGGCCAGATTCAACAGTCACCATTGTTGTAACTTAATTGATTTCAATGAACTTTTGTCCACTGACAATAGTGGTGAATATGTTATGCAACTAGCTTGTTATGCAATGCCCAGAGGACCCAAGCCAAGTTCTTTGGAGTCAGGGGCTCTGATAGGAGTTGAATGGGACTCAGAATGAAGAGCTGGTTTCATGCATCAGCATAGTATCTGAAACCCACATTCTGTATTAATAACACAATCTGAGCTGTGACACAAGTTGATGGCAATGAAGGAACCTGTGAACCTTTCCGCTTTCTCTCTTCGTATCATGCTCCATACTCAACAGAATTGTCAGCAGCCAGAGCTGTGCCTCAGGCCCAGAAGATGCAGCTGAAAGCACTCAGTATGGCAATGCTTGCATTTAAAGCCCTTTCAACAAGGGCAATCCCTTTCTGTACCGGCTGGGAGTCCGGGCGCATTGACTGAGAGACAGACCCAGGAATAGTTCATTAATGTAGATATCAAATGCTGGGCTTCAAACACTGACCAGTGTGAAACCCTGTTCAAAAGTGCTCCACAATCTGACAGAGAGCCAGCCTGTATCAGGAGGGATAAAAGAGAGAAAGAAGCTGCACAGATATAGAAGATCAAATAATTGCCTTTTAACGACAGTGATTACACATAAACTACACAATAATGAATTTATTGTCGGGCTCAGGATATGACTAAGAGCAACGAACCATGGAATGGCTTACCAGCTGCAGTAATACATTCATAATCACATGGAGTCTTTAAATTGAGATTGGAGGAAAGAGATGCTCTGGTTCACCCACGAATAATTGGGTGTGATAATGTGCACTTATATAGTAGGGAAGAATAACGTGCCCCATTGCAGGAATCAAAGGGTAAAATTCTATGGCCTGTGTAATGCAGGACATCAAACTAGGTGATCATATTGGTCTTAAAAATCTAACAATCTGTGTTCTTTCTCTAAAAGGTTTTAGGCAACTAGCTGCTTGGAGAAGCTCATGAAGAGGAATGAATCATTTAAAAAAAATATGAGTTTGCTTTTTATCTGCAGCATCTGGGCTCTTACTAGCTCCATCAAATATGAGTTTTACCGCAAAATACTTGTATGGTATTTAATTTCCTCCTGTTCTCTCTGGGCACGGAAGATGGATGTTATTGTGAATCAGATCATTTACAACCTGCTTCAGAATAGTTCTGCGAAGTCAGTGTGTATCCTTAATGCCAACAAACACACACACAAACCAAAAGCCCCTCTTTAACCATTTGAGGGTTAGCTATAGATCATATTACACTAATACATCTCAAATTGCTATGATAACAATGTCCTATACTATGCAAAAAGTTCCCACAACCATTTCCATGTTCTTATAGAATCTTAGAATATCAGGGTTGGAAGGGACCTCCAGAGGTCATCTAGTCCAACCCCCTGCTCAAAGCAGGCCCAATCCCCAATTTTTGCCCCAAATGGCCCCCTCAAGGATTGAACTCACAACCCTGGGTTTAGCAGGCCAATGCTCAAACCACTGAGCTATCCCTCCCCCCAATTTTCCTATGTTTACTTGGTAGTAGCAGCACTTTCATGGTCAGTTACAATGATTTTTAGTCATCTAGTTACTAGACATCTAGTTTCATCTTTGTATGAAAATAATATGCCACCATTCTATCTTCCCCTCTTTGCTCTGAAGAGGTATTTATCTCAAAAGTTTGAACTATCTATTAATCATAGTTATAGTATGTTGAGCACTATAGTATTTAGATTCCTGAACAAAGCAAGAAGGCACAAACCTTAACCAAAAAAGAGCTGTGTTCTCAGCTTTCGGGTGTTCAGTCTCCCTCTGTGTACAGCAGGTAAAAATTGCATTCTGTGAGTTGTGGCTCTAGCTGATCTGAATGCATAGTTGCATAGATTCCCTCCAAAGTGGCAGTGTATCTATGCATTAGCTTCTCCTGTCAGTTTTGAAAGGAATGCTATTTAAGCCGCATTTTTAAATGTGACATATTAAGTGGCACCAGCCAAATAAAATGCACCTACAACTGATGTGTCAACAAACCCTACATTTGGTCACGTAAACCATTTAACTTCTCAGGTAAACAGCTACTTACCCAAATGAAAATGTGATCTGTTCAGACAGTTATGGGATTTTACACATTGACTGAGTCCATGGGCATTTTTTCCTGGTTGAAACTCACATTAGTACATTTGAAAATTTGGTCTTATGAAAGATCTCATCTCTCAGGTACCTTCAGATAATCCCTGTGCACAGCCTGTTTGCTAAGTGTGAAGGCTTAACATGTGTCCCATGGTAATTATCTTGTAGTGTCAGGGTAACTATTTTTCCAGGACCTGATCAAAGCAGAACAACAAGATAACAATTACTAAGGAATGGGGGAATGAGTCAGAGAAAATAAGAACTGTCCTTGATCTTTGCTCAGAACTAACCCCCACCCAAAGGTATGAGACTTGAAAAAGTTTGGTCATGCCATCTCTCCCCCTAGACATACATCCCACCTCAGCATTTCCTCATTCTGAGGGGAACCAGCTGCAGATGTACTGAGATATCACAAAAGGCTATTTTTGTGTTAGTTCCGGTCTGAGAACAATCAGTAAATGCTGCAAATTTGGTGTGATTACCAGCCCAGGTTCTAAAGCTTTCGTTTGAGTAAGTGTGAAGAAGTATCCAAACTGCTTAATCTTTGGAAATGTACTAGTTTCTTATAATTTTACTTGATTGTTTCAGAAGTAATGCAGGCTGCATGCTAATCATTATTGTATCTATACAAATATAAAGCTAAATTTACAAAATGAGGCCTGTTAGCTATACTTGCAAAATATGTGCGTGCAACTATTTTATGTGCAAATATCTGTGGTTGCAGGTACAAATGGGCTAGTTAGATGTATGCATGTGCAAAAATGCTTGCACGTGGCCTTTGTACAGGAACATGCATTTGGATGTAGACTTTACGGGCTCAGCTTTGCCGTCAACATTTGGCCCATTGAGGCTTATCTATGGCTTTCACCAGTAAGCTAAGGAATGTTTAAATATGTCTGCCCTGTGACTTAGTTTAAAAGTTGTTCTGAAAGTTCTGTGATGGCTCATTTGACACAATTTATTTCAGGTTCTAAACAAAATGAACTGGAAGCAGAAAAGCTGCAGCTGTTTCTTTAACATAAAAAAAAATGAAAAACAATTGTGCATTCTTGTTCAGCTTCCAAATACAATTATGTACTCTTGTCCTTCTGCTTAAGACACTTTGGGTGCTAATTTGACTAAATTAGCATGAGCTGCAGTGACTGCACTATCTTCTTTACACAAAACACAGAGGAAACTAAAATTTGTTGTCTTTTGTTAGTTTTAACTCCCCTTCTCCAATACATAGAGGAGCTGTGAGAAACACTGGGGTTTAATTTGTGGAAACCTAGCCTCAATATTAAAAATATGTTTGTCTCCCTCATATAGAATGCGAATCTTTAATTTCTTCGAAGATCCATCTGTGACTGGACCTGTATTCTGCTGGTTACTGATGGTCCTAAACACAGTCAAAACGAATCTTCCTTAGACACTGAAGAGACACAGCTGCACCCAGCTATTCAGAATGGTTAAAAGAACTGTCTAACACAGCTCTAAAGGAGAAAAATCACAATCAGTAAGTGGCATTAAAGGGGGTTGAACTGACAGATTTGATTCCATTATGCATTCACTAATAGAGCTTAATATCAAAACCCATTCCACCTAATAATAATCTGCCATTCAGTACTGATATCATTACTTATTTGTCAGGAAAATACTTACATAAAACCACACACACCCTTTATGTCTTCTTTGTCTGCCCTTTTCTCTGTCCCTCTCTTATGTACTTTTTATGATCCACCAATTATGTGATCAAGCTTTTGGGTTCTGTGTTACTCTGCAGGGTGCTTCATTTAATAATCGTCAACATTTACTGCTGCCATTGTATAATAATAATATATTGTGACATGTAATTAATATTGCTTGCTGTTCCTTTACTCATATGTTGTAAAATCTCAATAAATCTCAATAAAAAATAAAGTTCTCACTAGGCAAGCTGTGTAAATATATTAGCTGACTATTTTGCAAAAAGGCAGGCTACCTCAACACTAATAAATCTTTGACACTACACACTTTGGAGTGTTTTTTCTGTTTTACAGGGAAGTCTCAATCTTTCAACCCACTGACGTAGGCTATAATCAACTGTGGCTGATCTAAAAAATGCAACAGATAAGATAGCAATATACCAGCAGGGCCAAATGCTGAGAACCTTATGCAGTCAAATGCCTGAATATGATCTCAGTAAAAAATGAGTAAAGTCGTAAATGTTTGACTTATGATAAGGACGTCGTTCACAACCACTTCATTGGGTGTCTGCCATTCTTTTCACGTTCTTTTATTTTCAGAACCAAATTTGAATTAGAAAAAGAAAGCTACTATTACCCATTTAAGTTAACCTTTGAAGCAATGTTCTACCATAGTGTGTTGTGGCTTAAGCCATCTTGATAAAATTTTCCAATTTAGATGCTTAAAGTTATGCTTCTGAATCTATATATAGGCATGTAAATAAGTTGCTGGATTTTCAGAGGTGCTGATTACCTGTAATACCCATTTACTTTAATGAAGCTCAGCACTTCTGATAATTAGGTCATTCATTTAGGTACGGAAATATGTATTTGAGTGCATAATATTAAACTTTGAAAACTTTGTTCTGAGCTTTGTCTGCCCTTTCAGACTGAAGTACCATTACCCCTGCAGGGCCTTGTGTTGAATGTAACCCTGTTTTACTGCTCCCCTTATCTTTCCCCCTGTTTTTCTCCCATCATTCCTCGGTGATTAAATATTTCCCTTTCCTATATTCATTGTACTGTGTGTGTGTTCGTTCAGTCTGGGGGGTTTGGAACAGGTGCCCCTGGGAAGGAAGGGACTTTCCCTGCTGTGTTCCTGCGCGTGCCTTTTCTTAGCCAGAGCTGCTTGCAGAGGAGACTCCATCTTGGCCACTAAAGTTATACTGTCTTATTTTTTATCCCTGTCCTATTATTTCCTAGCATACGGTTAACATTTTTTACTGCTGCTGTGCACTGAGTGGAAGTTTTCAGAGAACTATCCACAATGACTCAAAGATCTCTCTCTTAGGTGACAATAATATGGAACCCATCATTGTATAAACTACGGTGCGAATTTAAACTACTGTAGTTATGCTGGTATAACTCCCTATGTGGACATTTTTATTCTGGAATAAAAGTTTCCACACAAGAAGTTATACCAATACAACTAGTGGTTTAATTATACTCCTTCAATAAATACCCTTATAACTAGTGAAACTTCCATATAGACAAGTCCTTAGAAACAAGCAAAACCAAAACCAAACCAGAACAAAAAAAATATACCCCACCTTTTCCACTTATACATTGATGTAATGTGATCTGGATTGAGAAACAGTGAACATGAAATTCAATGAAGGCTTTAAAAAAGCCCCAAACAAAAACCCAGAGCCACTTTTTAGATTATAGTAGGCACATTCCCTCTTCACTCTTCTATAGTACTGCAATTTGGACCAGATCCCTACCTGGTGTAAATCGGCACAGGCCATTTGATTTTAGTGGAGCTAAACTAGTTTACAGCATTTGAGGGTCCAGGTCTTCATCGTTTCTGACTCAGGTTACAATAGTGTTGAATGATGAGATGACACAAATCTAATTTTCTATCCACAAATGAATTTTTTGGGTTACTCATCCATGATGGTTCTCCATCACTTTTTAATAAATTGCTGATAACCAAGACGTTTGGTTAATTCAAAACTACCTGCCTACAGTATAAATCAGAAGTGTGCAAGCCAAAAAAGGGAAATACTCGAGAAATGTCAGTTTCTGAAGGATCTATCCAAGTTACCAGCCACATCAGAAATAAACACTGCTTCCTCAGAATGGCTGTTCATTATACATTGGCCTTCAAAGGCAGTTGAACGATTTTTATTCTCTATACTCTAGTTGCACTCTCCACTGGACAAATGCTAGGAATATGCTGGATGCTTACTCATATGCCACTTGGGAAGCCCCAGCTACAGTGGGAACAGCAAACAAGTAGTTACTCTTGCAGATGAAAATGCTCGGCAAAGTTAAAAAAACCCAAAGGTTTTTCATGTTGCAAAGAACCTATTTTTGCTTTGTGTCATCCAAGAAGTGGGGTGGTCTGTTTCATAGACATAGTATTTTTGCCATGTGGGATAAAGTGTTTTTTAGGTTTCAGAGTAACAGCCGTGTTAGTCTGTCTTTGCAAAAAGAAAAGGAGTACTTGTGGCACCTTAGAGACTAACCAATTTATTTGAGCATGAGCTTTCGTGAGCTACAGCTCACTTCATTATTATTAATTATAAGTATTACAGTAGCACCTAGATTCCCCAGCTGAAATTGGATTCCCATTGTGGTAGACATTGCAAATACACGTATAGTAAGAGGCAGTTCCTGCCCCAAAAAGGCTTACAATAATAAACTATTTTATCACATTCTTTAATTGATATTATGTTATTAATGATGTCAGTGAGCCTACAGCATTAGATAGTGCCTATTTATTATTTTAAATTGAAATAAAAATAAATAAAATAAAAATCTAACCAAACTATTTTTAAACTGACACTTAAACTCAACTCTATTCATGCAAAGGCTGAGGTTTATAAAGTTGCCTAAGGGACTTGGAAGACAATGAATGAGAATTTGGTATTTGAATGCCCTATACGATGTTGAAAATCTCAGCCTAAGTCTCTAGATATGCTGTGGTTATCTGGCCAGCTAGTATTACAGTAAAGCTATGAAGCACATTTGACATACTCTTGTGTGTGTCCTCAAAGCCTAGCTGTCACTGGGCAAACTGGCCCTAAGGGGGAGTTAACTGTGTTTGTGCCAGATTTGGCTTGCCTCTCCAAGGCAATGAGTGAAGTCATTTGACAAAGGGTCAGGTCATGAGGAGCCAGGACTGCTGGGAGGTAAAGAACAGAACTGAGAGAGAAAAATGGGGGAGGTGAAGATGTTTAGGAGCCAAGCCTAGAAGAATGCCAGCCCTTTCTGCTGTAGAAAGAGTGGGAGGGCATCTCAGAAGAATAGTATTACAGGAAGAGGCCCTGGGAAAGAGTAGCAAGACAGGCTGAGGCTATGGGTGCAGCTGGCCCACTTCTTAGAGATTGTTTTATTCACTGTAAATGAAGCTGAATACAGGTTACGTTGAACAAACAAAACTTTATTAAACCCTGTGTGCTGCTCTGTCCATATGGCTGAGGTGCTTCCAGCTTCCTGTTCTCATGGTGTCCCGTAATTCAATGACTGTCCCTCCAGGGATAGTGGGCCCTCTGACTCCAGTTTCACTGATCTGGATACATCTCCCCTATTTACAAACATTTTAATGTAAACCTTAAAAATAAGTAATTGATGTCCAGATGCTACCCCATGTCCCTTCAGCCAGAGGTTGCTAGGCCATAGTTGAGTTGAAGTCTTGTCTTTACCAGAGACTCTGCTAGTTAAATACTTTGGTCTCCTCTACAGGCAACCACACTTGGAGTGACCTATCACTGTCTGTCACCTGTCTTTGAGTCTAGTAAACTTGTTCTCTGCGGAGTCTCAAATCCCTCCCTGTGGGGTCGGCCTCCGGATGGTTTTCTTTTTTCTGTTCTGATCTCTATATTTCTGTAGGCTCTCTCAGGGTGTTGTGTCTGCTGGCTTGTTAGTGCCTCCTGTTCATTTGGATCACGTGGGTCTCTTGCGTAGTCATGCTGTGTGACCTGAGTGCCACTGCATCCCTCCTGACTCCTTTAGTCCACTCCTTCTGGTGTCTGTCTGATGGCTGGATCCTCACAGGAGTGCCTGTCTCCAGGGCTGGTAAGTCCTTGATTGACCTGTCATATTATAGTGACTGTCTTCTCTGTTTTCTTGCATCGGTATCTCTTGCCTTTGACTGCAACAGGTGTTCCCTCACAGGTAGCAGGGTTATGGTCCTTCTACTGACCAGTGCCTGTTCTGGACTTCTTTGGTACTGGTGTGATGTGGTATTCTTGTGTGCCAAAAATGTTAACAAGGCATACCACTGTTCATCCCTGACAGGGCTTTGCTGGTTCAAGTCTCCTTTCTGTCTGAGGGATAGAAGGGCTTTGAACAGGGAGCTGCTACTTCTCACTAGAGTGCCCTCACCTCTGATCTATGGATTATTCTGATGTGGGGCTCCCTCAGTCTCTCTTGTTGAAGGTGTTCCACTTTAAATATTTATACAAAGTCACGGGAGTAGAAGGACTGGATCCTGGATCTCCCACTTCCTAGGTGAGTGCTCTAATCACCAGGCTAGAAAGTTATTCTCTTGCTTGTATTCCTCCCCTCACTGCCTCAAACTGACTATTTACACTTCAGTGAGGCTTATTGACACTTCAACAGTAGACAGAGGGAACCATGCACCAGAATATCCCTTAGCCCAGTGGTTAGGGAACACACCTGAGATGTAGTAGCAGTAGGACTTAGACTGGGAATCTTTTACACCCCAGGTGAGCACTCTAAATACTATTGGGCTTCAAGTTCTAAGTAAGGTGCTCCTCACTACTTAGGCACCAATACCATTTGGTAGTAACTCCAAGGGAGTGTGCGCAGCAGAGAACCCCACACAGAAGGAGTTGCCATCCTCCAGCCCAGACTTAAGAAGTGCTGAACATCCTGAGGGAGTGGGTTTAGGACACATCCCTCTCCTTGGTATCTCCCATAGGCTAGTTTAGCTTGCTGGCTGTTGTGAATCCCATTCTTAGGCACCTATTTTCCTCCATTTGTTGTATAGGAAGCCTTAACGTCCAGCTCAGGCTTCATGAATCCTGGTGTTTTATAGGCACCTGAAAGTTAGGTATGCAACTCCTAAGTTCCTTTGGGACTCTAGGTCTTAGAGAACGTTTCCTGCCTCTGGGCTTAGTGTAGCAGTGGCTGCAGCAGGAAAGCATGGATTCTCTTAACTTGCAGTAGTATGGTTCAGGGGTGCTTTCTGCTCTTTTCCCAAAGAAAATATGTTAGAGAGGCTCTGGCAATGGCCTGGAAACCCAAGATGAGTGAGTAGCCAATTAGCATTCACCACTTTGCTAAAGAGGCCAATAACACATAGAATGGGTCTGAGGGTTGGCTAGGAGCAAGCAGGCAGCTAAGGAGAGGTGTGCAGTGTTGCCAGCTTTGAAACTTTGTGATCCTTGCAATATTTGGTGTGTCTCTTAACTTTCATTTTTTTTTTTAAAGTAAGTTTCTAACCCTCAGACTTCAGAGAAGTTTGAAAATATGAAGCCCAAAGGCTCCAAATCCCAAGGTAAATAAGAAGAAGAGTTTGTGATTTGTAAATCAATCTCCTGATTTTTAGAGCCTAACAAATGATTTCTGTACACTTGGGATTGGCAATATTATGAGAGGGAGGCTGAAGAAGGCTGGGGGCAGAGTTGGCAGATGAGCCTGCTATGTAGATTCCAAGGCCAGAAGGGATCATGGTGATCGTTTAGTCTGACCTGTTGTCTAACACAGGCCACAGAACTTTTCTGAACTATTTCCTAGAGCAGATCTTTTAGGAAAAAATCCTATCTTGATTTAAAAATACTTGGTCATAATGGATTCTGCATAAAAAAAAGCAGTTCTCAGTGACAATTTTAAGTATTATTGTTTCATGAACTATAAGGATTAGAGAAACCAGCTATATCAGCTTAGACAATTGGGATTCTATATTTTGGGGTGTGTGTGTGTGTGTGTGTATATTACAAAAAATAGAAAGTGTGTGTGCGCACATGAGAGAGATAAAAACATTTTATATCTAG